GTGAACAGACTTCCGAAGACGTCGTTTGTGATGTACCATCGCGTCGTTGGACTTACTACAAAAATTTAGATTCCATTGGATAGAGCTCGGTAATCCGAATCGATTGAGCGTACTTCCAAAGAAGTGGCACAAGCATGTCATGGGATAAGTCCAATTTAACACAGCAACGGATTACACGATTAGCGTGCACACGCTGACAAAGTCACGAGATTGGTCGGGGTTTCTAGACTTTGCATGTTGAAGTACCCCACCGGCAAGGCGTGGCTGTAAGATCGTGCCAGTAGGTTCTTCATAGCGGAGGCTAGCGCCTGGTCTATATCTCAATTGGACATTGATGAGCGGTATACAATGTCCACTAGGCAAATATCGCTCTGCCTTAGGTGTGGGCAGCACCATAAAGTGTCCATCGTTTGAACCGCTGTGCCGTGTACGCGGTCGGAACGGTAGTAAATAATTACACCACCTCTCTTTGTGGGTCGGTCGTTGCACAAGAGTGACATACCAGGTAGTGCGATCTCGGCGTCGGCAATTGTGTCATCCAGCCACATCTCGGTTACAATGTTAAGCTTCCAACACACTGTGACTTTACGAGATCGAACCTTTGCCGATTTACTGAGGCCTTGCGCATTTGTATACAAACAGCTGAGCACGACGGATGCCAGAAGCGTATCTGAACACACCTACGTTTCCCATGACCATTATTGGGCCAGCTGACCACCGGTTAAAAAGGGATTTCTGGCATACCGTCTGGGGCCGTTTCGGGCTGTTGCATAGAGCACCCACTACCTGAACCTTCAGAGGTAAATTGCGGCTGATTGCCTGTGTCTTCCTCTTTGGACGGCTGGGTTGGAAATGCCGACAGCAGGGTTCGCCACAACTTCTCGCTGATTTAGTGTTCCGTAAGCCAATAGTGGCCTGGCTTCGATCGCCTTCAGACGCATCTCTGGTGCCAGTTTGATGCGTAACTTGTGCCAACTTCCGATCATACTTTCAATCATTTGTTGGGAACAGAGAAGGACTTTCAGCACCCTTGGATCACTTCTTTTATATTTGGGTGATATAGGCAACCATGACTTTAAGTTGGCGATCACCTCGTGAAGAAAAAGAGCTTCGCGGATGTAGCAACACTCATCCAAGCCTTGAGCTTCGGTCTGCGAGTCGTCAGAAAACTGAATTTAGGGGACACCATGGACAAGATCGATTTTTTGCTTGTGGTTTTGCTTCCTTTGCCGACGATCACTCCTTCGCATGGCGAATCACGAATACGGTGAGTTGACAAAAGGGGCGGTCTCCACTTCGTCACCTGATCGAAATGTCCCCTGAAGTAGCTTTGGCTCGTCATGGTGAACTAAGTTTGGGTGGCCTGGATTCACTTTGCTCGACATATGGATTCCCAGTACTTCTGGTCACCCAGTAGTTTGTCTGTGACAGAGTATGTCTTTGACGCAGGCATGTTGTCTTCATCAAGTTCTGCGTCTTCCTTGTATTCATAATGTTGGATATGAGAGTGTCTCCTTTTACTAACAGCGTGATACGCGGCCTTCTCGGAGTCGCATTGGTATTCATGTCATTTCGAACACTCTTTGGAGTAGTTGCACACGTGCTCGCTAACCTTGCCGTAGGTCTGCATGCGGCCTCGACGGATGCGCACTTTGTCAGACTTCCGATATTGTGGGTTAAAGTCGAATGCAATAGAGTATCATGGGACACAGCTATACCCTTGGGAAAGGCCAATACAAAATTGGGGTCTCCAGGTTTGGCAGACCCTGCTTGCCTGCCTGTTTGCTAGTTCTCCTGGTTAGAATTACTTGCACAAAGCTGTTAGCTATACACTTGTTTTGGCTACTCTATTCTCAGTTTGAGCAGTTTAGCCAACTGCAGTCGAGTTCTGGTGCAGCCGGTTCCGATGCAACCGCTATACCAGCCGCTGCACGCTACACAATCACTGTCAGTTTGTCACATTTCTGTGCCAGCACGGTGATGCACCTTACGAGTGAGTTGATCCTACACTTTGTGTAGAACCAAATGGAGTCAGGAGTGCAGTATAATTCTCACACTTTCGCTACACTTAGATTTATGAACAAGATGGCATTTCCAACTGAAGTTACTACATCATATTCCAATTCGTATAGCATTGCAGCATGATTTCCAATCGCAAAGAACTTTTCCTTGCGGTTGAGTGGGCCGTGCATACATATATATACAGTCGATTCCGGTTAATCGGACCACCGGTTAATAGGACCAGCCGCTTATTCGGGCCAAATTCTGAAGAACCGAAACGAATCCTATTACGCTAGCCTAATTTTAGCCGCTTATTAGGACCGGAATTCCGCTTAATCGGACCAGACGGTAGAAGGTGGCAGGTAACAGAGGTGTTAAAATCAAGTTCTGTGCCTGGATGTCTGGACTAAACCCACAGTTCATATGTCGGGCAAGAAAGCGTATCATTCAGTTACGGCAATCCGAGTTGGCCTTTGGATAAACTGAACTGTGGCAACCTTGAGGCACATCTATCTAGTTGGCTTCAGAACCGCCCGAAACTGACTGTAGTTTCCAACACTTGTAGGCGGAGCGAAGACATACATGCTTGTTCACATGTCGTTAACCGCTCGATCGATGTACCGCACGGCCATTGAGCCGAATGCCCTGAGCCCGCATTGCGGGCCTACTCTCGAGCACGGCAAGTGATCGCGGACACACAGGTCCGGCAAATCATAGGACAGCAGGTGGCTAGGTCAACCATAGAAAAACCCGGGAGACAGACCCGAGTTCACCTCAGTGAACTGTGCGTGTCTTGGTGCATGTTAAGGAAATGCCACGACGGGACTTGACGTTAGCTGAGAAGATTCGTTTCCTACATCAGATCAAGGAACAGGGACCAACCACTAGTCAGCGTCGATTGGTGGAAATTACCTGCTTGGCAAAATCTACAATATCGCGCCTGATAAAACAAGAGAAAGATCTGCGAGAAGAATGGTCACAATGTGAAGGACGACGAGGTACTTCCCAAAAACGGAAGCGTGAGGGCAAGGATCCAGACGTCGATGAGGCCCTTAATGATTGGTTTGTCTTTGTTACTGGACGAGCCGTGCGAGTAAGTGGCCCAATGTTAAAGTACAAAGCAGAAGAACTCGCTAAAATGCTGGGCCACGAAGATTTTATAGCTACGGACGGCTGGTTGTCTCGATGGAAATCTAGACATGATGTAAAATTTAAGAAAACACATGGTGAGAAAGAAAGTGCCAATAGCGCTCGAGCTGAAGAATGGAAATCAACAAAACTACCAGAGCTTCTTGAAAAATTTCCAGCAGATGACATCTATAATGCTGATGAAACCGGGTTGTACTATAGGGCTACACCGGACGGCTCCTTAAGTTACAAACATGTTACTCTCTCTGGCTGCAAAAAAGCAATGGATCGCGTAACTGTCTTGTGCTGCTCAAACATGTCCGGAACAGACAAGAGGAAGTTGCTGGTTATAGGAAAATGTGCCAAGCCTCGCTGCTTTAAGGGACTCAGAATGGACAGTTTACCAGTTGTGTATCGTGCGAACAGAAGTGCATGGATGAGCTCTACACTTTTTAAAGAATGGGTGAAGGATTGGGACACAGAGCTACAACGCCAGTCGAGAAAAGTGTTATTACTTCTAGACAATTGTGCAGCACATTCAAATTTGGATTTCTTGAAGAATATCCAGATGGAATTTCTGCCTCCCAAGACCACATCTTTGATACAGCCAATGGACATGGGCATCATAAAAAATTTGAAGACCTTTTATCGTTCAAGGTTGGTGAATTACATCCTTGAATTAATTGAGGAAGGCTTGCTGACTTCATCCTCGACAGCCGGAGAAATCAGTGCAAAGGTCAACATTTTGCAAGCCGTTACATTCGTGGCCGAAAGTTGGCGAAAAATGAGCAGTGCGACAATTCGGAACTGTTTTTCTCACTGTGGCTTTAAGCATATTGTCTCGGAGATGGATGTGGATATGGTGGTTGTAAATGAACATGACAGCGAGAATGTGGAGCTGAAACATGTTGAAAATTACGAAGAATTTTTGTCAATCGACAACGAACTTCAACTCTATGATGGAAATGAAGAATGCGATGCTGCCATTGTTGCTCGAATAGCAGCGAAACACACGACAGCAACAGAAGACCATGGAAGTGATGAAGAGAACCCTAACGTGTTGATGCCAGTCGCAAAACAGGATGCAAGGAAATGCATTGAAACATTGCACCGCTATTTCATGCAGGAAGGAAATGAAGGTAGTCCTATTACTGCGTTACATGTTTGTGGTGATTTTGTGCGAATGCAGTCTGTTAAAAGAATGCGTCAAACCACACTGATACGGTCTTCAAACGCTGAATGGAATTCGGTAATCCCTTTGTATAAAACTGTACTTCGCATGCTGAATATCTTGTGGGTCGTTACGAAGAATTTGTTTGTAAATTTCTTATTCAGTGAACAAAGTTCGTTATCAAAGCAGTTCTTTTTGTGAGTTTGCTATAAATATTTGCCGCCAATACAGGTCATAATAGTAGTTTCTTATGTTATGTATAGCACGTCCCATCTTGTTACATCGGGTAACTTCGGTTAATCGGACCAGCCGCTTAATAGGACCAAAATGGTCTGGTCCCGATGTGGTCCGATTAACCGGAATCGACTGTATATATATATATATATATATATATATATATATATAGATATATATATATATATATATACAGCCGATTCCGGTTAATCGGACCACATCGGGACCAGACCATTTTGGTCCTATTAAGCGGCTGGTCCGATTAACCGAAGTTACCCGATGTAACAAGGTGGGACGTGCTATACATAACATAGGAAACTGCTATTATGACCTGTATTGGCGGCATATATTTATAGCAAACACAAAAAAGAACTGCTTTGATAACGAACTTTGTTCACTGAAAAAGAAATTTACAAACAAATTCTTCGTAATGACCTACAAGATATTCAGCATGCGAAGTACAATTTTATACAAAGGGATTACCGAATTCCATTCCGCGTTTGAAGACCGTATCCAGTGTGGGTTGACGCATTCTTTTAACAGACTGCATTCGCACAAAATCACCGCAAACATGTAACGCAGTAATAGGACTACCTTCATTTCCTTCCTGCATGCAATAGCGGTGCAATGTTTCAATGCATTTCCTTGCATCCTGTTTTGTGACTGGCATCAACACGTTAGGGTTCTCTTCACCACTTCCATGGTCTTCTGTTGCTGTCGTGTGTTTCGCAGCTATTCGAGCAACAAGGGCAGCATCGCATTCTTCATTTCCATCATAGAGTTGAAGTTCGTTGTCAATTGACAAAAATTCTTCGTAATTTTCAACTTGTTTCAGCTCCACATTCTCGCCGTCATTTTCATTTACAATCACCATATCCACATCCAACTCCGAGACAATATGCTTAAAGCCACAGTGAGAAAAACAGTTCCGAATTGTCGCACTGCTCATTTTTTGCCAACTTTCGGCCACGAATGTAACGGCTTGTAAAATGTTGACCTTTGCACTGATTTCTCCGGCCGTCGAGGATGAGGTCAGCAAGCCTTCCTCAATTGATTCAAGGATGTAATTCACCAACCTTTAACGATAAAAGGTCTTCAAATCTTCTATGATGCCCATGTCCATTGGCTGTATCAAAGATATGGTCTTGGGAGGCAGAAATTCCATCTGGATATTCTTCAAGAAATCCAAATTTGAATGTGCTGCACAAGTGTAGAGAAGTAATACCACTTTTCTCGACTGGCGTTGTAGCTCTGTGTCCCAATCCTTCACCCATTCTTTAAAAGTGTAGAGCTCATCCATGCATTTCTGTTCGCACGATACACAACTGGTAAACTGTCCATTCTGAGTCCCTTAAAGCAGCAAGGCTTGGCACATTTTCCTATGACCAGCAACTTCCTCTTGTCTGTTCCGGACATGTTTGAGCAGCACAAGACAGTTACGCGATCCATTGCTTTTTTGCAGCCAGAGAGAGAGTAACATGTTTGTAATTTAAGGAGCCGTCCGGTGTAGCCCTATAGTACAACCCGGTTTCATCAGCATTATAGATGTCATCTGCTGGAAATTTTTCAAGAAGCTCTGGTAGTTTTGTTGATTTCCATTCTTCAGCTCGAGCGCTATTGGCACTTTCTTTCTCACCATGTGCTTTCTTAAATTTTACATCATGTCTAGATTTCCATCGAGACAACCAGCCGTCCGTAGCTATAAAATCTTCGTGGCCCAGCATTTTAGCGAGTTCTTCTGCTTTGTACTTTAACATTGGGCCACTTACTCGCACGGCTCGTCCAGTAACAAAGGCAAACCAATCATTAAGGGCCTCATCGACGTCTGGATCCTTGCCTTCACGCTTCCGTTTTTGGGAAGTACCTCGTCGTCCTTCACATTGTGCTCCTTCTCGCAGATCTTTCGCTTGTTTTATCAGGCGCGATATTGTAGATTCTGCCAAGCAGGTAATTTCCACCAATCGACGCTGACTAGTGGTTGGTCCCAGTTCCTTGATCTGATGTAGGAAACGAATCTTCTCAGCTAACGTCAAGTCCCGTCGTGGCATTTTCTTAACATGCAACAAGACACGCACAGTTCACTGAGGTGAACTCGAGTCTGTCTCCCGGGTATTTCTATGGTTGACCTAGCCATCTGCTGTCCTATGATTTGCCGGACCTGTGTGTCCGCGATCACTTGCCATGCTCGTGAGTAGGCCCGCAATGCGGGCTCAGGGCATTCGGCTCAATAGACGTGCGGTACATCGATCGAGCGGTTGACGACATGTGAACAAGCATGTATGTCTTCGCTCCGCCTACAAGTGTTGGAAACTACAGTCAGTTTCGGGCGGTTCTGAAGCCAATTAGATAGATGTGCCTCAAGGTTGCCACAGTTCAGTTTATCCAAAGGCCAACTCGCTTTCTTGCCCGACATATGAACTGTGGGTTTAGTCCAGACATCCAGGCACAGAACTTGATTTTGACACCTCTGTTACCTGCCACCTTCTACCGTCTGGTCCGATTAAGCGGAATTCCGGTCCTAATAAGCGGCTAAAATTAGGCTAGCGTAATAGGATTCGTTTCGGTTCTTCAGAATTTGGCCCGAATAAGCGGCTGGTCCTATTAACCGGTGGTCCGATTAACCGGAATCGACTGTATATACATAATGGTTGGCGACATCCGGTTTTGGATTTGCCTGTCACTGTGGTCAGCCATAGGACGCCTGCGATTACAGAGGGAACATGGGTGGCTTGCGCTGCACCACCCACAGCTCCAACCACACACCCCATATCCAGTGTAAACCCGAAGGTATGAGACCAGGAGGCAAGCGGATGGGAGCCACGTTTCAGCATCGGAGCCGGCCCACACTCCTTCACAGGCAAAAACAAGCACGATGTATTTGGGGAATCAAGCGCACACAAGGCGGTGGCCGGACCGTATTCCGCTCCACACTGAGTGCATGGAACCGCTCTTCGAGCCCGGCACGGCCACAAGGACCGTGCACCCCGTCCCCTCCAGCAACGACCAAATGTCTCCTGGAGCCAGTATGGACGAGGTAGCGGGTAATGGCAGGTAGGCAACGTGTCAACATGCACATCAAGCGCAGCCACACCGGGGATATCAAGCAACAGCCAATCACTTGAAAAGACAAGATGAAATAAAATAAATCCAATAATGCATACAGATACAGTGACATAACTCTTCGCTAAATTGGCATACGAAGTAAGTTGGTTAGCAACGAATCCGCGATAAAGAAAAAATGTCCACAACTTGCTTACAAATGCTACAAACGCAACAAAGTTACGGAAGCTAAGCGCAATTAGCGTAAGCAACGTGACCAGTTAATAGAAGATCATTAAGGTAGGCAGAACAAACTAAATAAAGTGGAATGAAATTTATCCAGCTTAAAAAGACCTAGTTTAAGTGTAAGTTGGTTTAGCCCAACTGCGGTGAAGAGACATCAAGAATGCAACCTCAGTCTTAACTTGGAGCACAAATACACACATGGTTGGCGGCATCCGGTTTCGCATTTGCCTGTCACTATGGCCAGCCACAGGACGCCTACGCCTACAGAGGGACCATGGTTGACTTGCGCTGTACCACCCATAGCTCCATCCACACACCTCATATCCAGTGTAAACCCGAAGGAATAAGACCGGGAGGCATGTAGATGGGAACCACGTTTCATCAACGGAGCCGGCCCACACTCCTTTACAGGCAAACACAAGCACGCTGTATTTGGGGAATCAAGCGCACACAAGGCGGTGGCTGGACCATAGTCCGCTCCACACTGTGTGCATGGAACCACTCTTCGAGCCTAACACAGCCACAAGGACCGTGCATCCCGTCCCCTCAAGCAACGACCCGCTGTCTTCTGAAGACAGTATGGACGAGGTAGTGGGTAATAGACAGGTAGGCACCTTGTCAACATGCACATTAAGCACAGCCACACCTGGGATATCAAACAACAATCATTCGAAATGCCGATATGGAATAAAGTAAACGCATATGAAGACATAAATACCCGCTAAATGAGCATATGGAAGAAATTGATAATAAGTGAATCCGCGATAAGTACAAAATGTCCGAAAGTTACTTAAAAAATACCATGCGATAAAATTACGCAAATTTACCACAATTTGCATGAGCGACGTGTGCAAGTTAGGAGAAGATTATCAAGTACGTAGAACAAACCAAATAAAGTGGAATGAATTTTATCCACCTTAAAAAGACCTAGTTTAAGTGCAAGTTGGTTTAGCCCAACTGCGGTGAAGAAGCATCATGAATGCAACATCAACCTCAGCATGGGGCATATATATATATATATATATATATATATATATATATATATGCAGCCGTCTATAAACAGACATAGAGCCATGAAAAAACCATTGGGAACATAATATAAAGGTATAAATGTCAGGAACAGATAATAAATACTTTTTGGGCTTATTGTTTTTATTTTTGTTTTTACAAGTGATTTTGCTTTTTCTGGCATTTTAAATGGCATGGCTCTAAGCGCATTGTTCAAAACACTTCAATATGCAGTCCTTCCATTGATTCCGGTTTCGCGCCATATCTCCAAGTGTGTCGACCCATTTGCAGTCCTCATCTTTGGGGCCCCAACCGAGAAGACGTTCTAGGCCAACGATTACGATACAGGTCAGCGACTTCATGGTTTGCCGCGAAGTGCTTGGCTGACCTCCACGCCTTTTCTTCCAATTCAATCCCGTGTAAGCAAATAAGGCGCGATGTGGTAAGCGCTCGCATGACATACGTAGAACATGGCCAGGCCACCACAATTGGCGATCAATCGGAGGGCTCAAATTTCCCAAGCCACGACACCATTATCATCATTATACACGTTAGCTGCAGGTGGAAAACATCTCAGCCATTGTGCTGCAATACAAAAGACAAGATGAAGAAAAAACAGTGGCACGTCGGCTGAGTCCGCGGTAACGGATGGATATCGTTCCGCAGAGCTAACAGCCGGCTATCGTGCCGCAAAAAGTTATATTATGCTTAACGAGTGAGCTCATGCTTAGAGGGGGATGGACCAAAGAACTCACAACACAAACGCCATCGAGGCCGGCTCTTCGCCATATCAGCAAGTGTGTCCAACCAAACGTGTTCATCGTCCTTAGGACCCCAGTCAAGCAGTCGCGATGCACCAAGCGACGCCAACTTCGAAGTGAGGGTTTTGATTTATCGCGACCAAGTCATCGCTTGGCCTCCCCTTCTTCTCTTCCAACCGCACCCCCGACGAGCAAACAATGCACGTCGTGGGCGTCGATGTGCTGCATGCGCAACACGTGGCCCATCCATCGGAGCCACGACACCGGGCTTCATCGTAGCGAACCTGGTGCTACCACCATACACGGGCTCTCCGCCGCAAACGTGTGTTATGGAAGACCGAAAGTCTACGCATGTCACCCACACGAATCGAACAGGACTCACTTTCGTACAGCAGGATCGCTCGGACACATGCGTTGTAGACCCCCCTCTTTGAGGAGAGGGATATGTCCTGACGACGCCACAAACGAATCAGGTTGGTAAATACCGACCGGGCTCTGACGATGCAATGAGATACCACTTTAAAAATAGTGCCATCACCAAAAACAGCTTCCGAGGTAGATGAAGTTGTCCACAAGCTCTAGCTGTGTTCCTTCAATGATAAGTGAGGGTGCAGACGACTTTCAGTCCTGGGGTAGCACATTGCGATTCAAGGGGAAAGTGTATACCATACTTTGGGAGCATTCTAGAGATCTCAACAGGAGGTTCTCAAATGCTTAGTTGAAGATGAATGGAGACAAAGGGCACCCTTGTCACACCACTAGATAGTAAAGGGTGTGGAAAGCTTTCCATAGACTCTTACTTGACCTGACACTTGGAAGTTACGCGCCCGAATGATAGAAGTGTACTTCTCGTGGACTCCATTTCTTTACAAACAGTGCTATAAAGCGGGCCGATCGACCGAGTCAAATGCAGCTCGAATGTCCAGGAAAACGACAATCTTTGGCTAATGGTAGAGATGGCGGTGTTCAAGGATTTGGCATAGCATGAAGATCTGATCTACGCATCCTCTGTCGCGGCGAAAGTCAGCTTGTTCTTCTCGGTAAAACAACTCGCGGATCGGAGATAGTCTGCGGAGTAGAATGGATGCCAGCAGTTTGGAAGCAATCGGCATGTTACTGATTCCCCTGTGATTAGCATATAATGTGCGAAAAGCTTGTGGCAGTCTGGAGATTCACCGGTTTGCCTGTGTAACATTCTAACTGAAATTATTTCGGACGGCGGTTAAACTGTTCGCTGAGCTTGGCAATTTTGTTGCAAACGTTACGTCACCAATCGAGGTGACATCAGCGGTGCGTAGTTGAGTGGCGTGCAGTAGCGTAGAGGAGCCTCTGTGCTACACATCGATGCCCACTCTAAATGGGTTAAAGTATACCCCGTTAGGCAAGCACTGTCCGGAGGCACCTTTGTTAAAATATGTCCACCGTTCGTCGCATTCGGTATTTCAGACATTGTATGGATAAGTACCCTCTTTTGTTAGCGTCAGCTTCAACCGATTCGTCACTTATATCCCGCGTGAAAACAGATTAGCAGAGTGAGCAGTGCAAACTGTGAATCTAGGATTGTCGAAACAGCGGGGATTCTACAGAGGAAGCTGGATCCGTTTCTATTTGCTTATCGTTCCACAGCTACTGAGATCACTGGAAGGTGTCCTTCTGGGTCGATGTTTTGCATGAGCCTAAGGACAAGGCTGAATCTACTGTTTCCCAATTCACGCGTCGGGATAGAAGGGCGACTGTAGAGCTCAGTGACTTTGGCTGAGCTGAAGAAGCATGTTATTTTTCGAAAACATGACTTGGTCTACATCAAGTTGCCACAATAAACCCACTGGCAGCCGGCCACCATAAGTAGTTCTTCTAGGAGCCAAAACAACGTCCACTTTCCAGACGACCGTCATATTCATTGGCATTCAGACCACATTTTTCTACCTAGTTCAGAGATCAAATGAGGCACAGACTGAATTTCATTAAGATAAAGAACCAGACAGTGAGGACGA